CGGCACACATCTTAGCCACTTCCATGAAGAAGTTCATGCCCACACCCCAGAAGAACGAGAGGCTGGGCGGAGCGGAGGAGAGAGAGAGAGATGGTGAGAGAGATGGTGAGAGAGATGGTGAGAGACAGGGGGAGAGACAGGGGGAGAGAGATGGTGAGAGAGATGGTGAGAGAGATGGTGAGAGAGAGAGATGGTGAGAGAGATGGTGAGAGAGAGAGATGGTGAGAGAGATGGTGAGAGAGAGAGAGAGATGGAGAGAGAGATGGTGAGAGAGAGAGAGAGATGGAGAGAGAGAGATGGTGAGAGACAGGGGGAGAGACAGGGGTGGCGAGTGGTACACATCTTAGCCACTTCCATGAAGAAGTTCATGCCCACACCCCAGAAGAACGAGAGGCTGGGCAGAGCGGAGGAGAGAGAGATGGTGAGAGAGATGGTGAGAGAGATGGTGAGAGAGAGATGGTGAGAGAGAGATGGTGAGAGAGAGATGGTGAGAGAGAGATGGTGAGAGAGAGATGGTGAGAGACAGGGGGAGAGACAGGGGTGGCGAGTGGTACACATCTTAGCCACTTCCATGAAGAAGTTCATGCCCACACCCCAGAAGAACGAGAGGCTGGGCAGAGCGGAGGAGAGAGAGAGAGAGAGATGGTGAGAGAGAGATGGTGAGAGAGAGATGGTGAGAGAGATGGTGAGAGAGAGAGATGGTGAGAGAGATGGTGAGAGAGAGAGATGGTGAGAGAGAGAGATGGTGAGAGAGATGGTGAGAGAGAGAGATGGTGAGAGAGAGGGTGAGAGAGAGACAGGGGGAGATGGTGAGAGAGAGATGGTGAGAGATGGTGAGAGATGGTGAGAGAGAGATGGTGAGAGAGAGAGAGATGGTGAGAGACAGGGGGAGAGACAGGGGTGGCGAGCGGTACACATCTTAGCCACTTCCATGAAGAAGTTCATGCCCACACCCCAGAAGAACGAGAGGCTGGGTGGAGCGGAGGAGAGAGAGAGAGATGGTGAGAGAGAGAGATGGTGAGAGAGAGAGAGATGGTGAGAGAGAGAGATGGTGAGAGAGAGAGATGGTGAGAGAGAGAGATGGTGAGAGAGAGAGATGGTGAGAGAGAGAGATGGTGAGAGAGAGGGGTGGCGAGCGGTACACATCTTAGCCACTTCCATGAAGAAGTTCATGCCCACACCCCAGAAGAACGAGAGGCTGGGCGGAGCGGAGGAGAGAGAGAGATGGTGAGAGAGATGGTGAGAGAGATGGTGAGAGAGAGGGGGAGATGGTGAGAGAGATGGTGAGAGAGATGGTGAGAGACAGGGGGAGAGAGAGAGAGATGGTGAGAGAGATGGTGAGAGAGAGAGATGGTGAGAGAGATGGTGAGAGAGATGGTGAGAGAGATGGTGAGAGAGAGGGGGAGATGGTGAGAGAGATGGTGAGAGAGATGGTGAGAGACAGGGGGAGAGAGAGAGAGATGGTGAGAGAGATGGTGAGAGAGAGAGATGGTGAGAGAGATGGTGAGAGACAGGGGGAGAGAGAGAGAGATGGTGAGAGAGAGGGGGAAAGAGAGATGGTGAGAGATGGTGAGAGATGGTGAGAGAGAGAGATGGTTAGAGAGATGGTGAGAGATGGTGAGAGAGAGAGATGGTTAGAGAGATGGTGAGAGAGAGAGATGGTGAGAGAGAGAGAGATGGTGAGAGAGATGGTGAGAGAGAGAGATGGTGAGAGATTATGAGAGATGGTGAAAGAGAGAGATGGTGAGAGGCAGGGGGAGATGGTGAGAGAGAGATGGTGAGAGAGATGGTGAGAGAGATGGTGAGAGACAGAGAGAGATGGTGAGAGAGAGAGAGATGGTGAGAGACAGGGGGAGAGACAGGGGTGGCGAGCGGTACACATCTTAGCCACTTCCATGAAGAAGTTCATGCCCACACCCCAGAAGAACGAGAGGCTGGGTGGAGCGGAGGAGAGAGAGAGATGGTGAGAGAGAGAGAGATGGTGAGAGAGAGAGATGGTGAGAGAGATGGTGAGAGATGGTGAGAGAGAGAGAGATGGTGAGAGACAGGGGGAGAGATGGTGAGAGAGATGGTGAGAGAGATGGTGAGAGAGAGAGATGGTGAGAGAGAGAGATGGTGAGAGATGGTGAGAGATGGTGAGAGACAGGGGTGGCGAGCGGTACACATCTTAGCCACTTCCATGAAGAAGTTCATGCCCACACCCCAGAAGAACGAGAGGCTGGGCGGAGCGGAGGAGAGAGAGAGATGGTGAGAGAGAGAGATGGTGAGAGATGGTGAGAGAGAGAGAGATGGTGAGAGAGATGGTGAGAGAGAGAGATGGTGAGAGAGAGAGAGATGGTGAGAGAGATGGTGAGAGAGATGGTGAGAGAGATGGTGAGAGAGATGGTGAGAGAGATGGTGAGAGAGATGGTGAGAGAGATGGTGAGAGAGATGGTGAGAGAGAGATGGTGAGAGAGATGGTGAGAGAGAGAGAGATGGTGAGAGAGAGAGAGATGGTGAGAGAGAGGGGGGGAGAGAGATGGTGAGAGAGATGGTGAGAGAGAGAGATGGTGAGAGAGATGGTGAGAGAGAGAGATGGTGAGAGAGAGAGATGGTGAGAGAGATGGTGAGAGAGAGATGGTGAGAGAGATGGTGAGAGAGATGGTGAGAGAGAGATGGTGAGAGAGATGGTGAGAGAGAGAGATGGTGAGAGAGATGGTGAGAGAGAGATGGTGAGAGAGATGGTGAGAGAGAGATGGTGAGAGAGATGGTGAGAGAGATGGTGAGAGAGAGAGATGGTGAGAGAGATGGTGAGAGAGAGAGAGATGGTGAGAGAGAGAGATGGTGAGAGAGAGAGATGGTGAGAGAGATGGTGAGAGAGATGGTGAGAGATGGTGAGAGAGATGGTGAGAGAGATGGTGAGAGAGATGGTGAGAGTGAGAGATGGTGAGAGAGATGGTGAGAGATGGTGAGAGAGAGAGAGAGATGGTGAGAGAAAGAGAGATGGTGAGCGACAGGGGGAGAGATGGTGAGAGATGGTGCGAGAGAGAGATGGTGAGAGAGATGGTGAGAGAGAGAGATGGTGAGAGAGAGATGGTGAGAGAGATGGTGAGAGAGAGAGATGGTGAGAGAGATGGTGAGAGAGAGAGATGGTGAGAGAGAGAGATGGTGAGAGAGATGGTGAGAGAGATGGTGAGAGAGAGAGAGATGGTGAGAGAGATGGTGAGAGAGATGGTGAGAGAGATGGTGAGAGAGATGGTGAGAGAGATGGTGAGAGAGATGGTGAGAGAGAGATGGTGAGAGAGATGGTGAGAGAGAGAGAGATGGTGAGAGAGAGAGAGATGGTGAGAGAGAGGGGGGAGAGAGATGGTGAGAGAGATGGTGAGAGAGAGAGATGGTGAGAGAGATGGTGAGAGAGATGGTGAGAGAGAGATGGTGAGAGAGATGGTGAGAGAGATGGTGAGAGAGAGAGAGATGGTGAGAGAGATGGTGAGAGAGATGGTGAGAGAGAGAGATGGTGAGAGAGATGGTGAGAGAGAGAGATGGTGAGAGAGAGAGATGGTGAGAGAGAGATGGTGAGAGAGAGATGGTGAGAGAGATGGTGAGAGAGATGGTGAGAGAGAGATGGTGAGAGAGATGGTGAGAGAGAGAGATGGTGAGAGAGATGGTGAGAGAGAGATGGTGAGAGAGATGGTGAGAGAGAGATGGTGAGAGAGAGAGATGGTGAGAGAGATGGTGAGAGAGAGATGGTGAGAGAGATGGTGAGAGAGAGAGAGATGGTGAGAGAGAGAGATGGTGAGAGAGAGAGATGGTGAGAGAGATGGTGAGAGAGATGGTGAGAGATGGTGAGAGAGATGGTGAGAGAGATGGTGAGAGAGATGGTGAGAGTGAGAGATGGTGAGAGAGATGGTGAGAGAGAGAGAGAGATGGTGAGAGAAAGAGAGATGGTGAGCGACAGGGGGAGAGATGGTGAGAGATGGTGCGAGAGAGAGATGGTGAGAGAGAGAGAGATGGTGAGAGACAGGGGGAGAGATGGTGAGAGAGAGATGGTGAGCGAGCGGGTGAGCGAGCGGGTGAGCGAGCGGGTGAGCGAATCGGTGAGCGAGCGGGTGAGCGATTTGGTGAGCGAATCGGTGAGCGAATCGGTGAGCGAATCGGTGAGCGAGCGGGTGAGCAAGCGGGTGAGCGAGCGGGTGAGCGAGCGGGTGAGCGAGTCCCTCACCGGGGAGCGAATCGGTGAGCGAATCGGTGAGCGAGCGGGTGAGCGAGCGGGTGAGCGAATCGAAGAGCGAATCGGTGAGCGAGCGGGTGAGCGAATCGGTGAGCGAATCGGTGAGCGAGCGGGTGAGCGAGCGGGTGAGCGAGCGGGTGAGCGAGCGGGTGAGCGAATCGGTGAGCGAATCGGTGAGCGAGCGGGTGAGCAAATCGGTGAGCGAGCGGGTGAGCGAGCGGGTGAGCGAGCGGGTGAGCGAACCGGTGAGCGAATCGGTGAGCGAGCCGGTGAGCGAATCGGTGAGCGAGCGGGTGAGCGAATCGGTGAGCGAACCGGTGAGCGAATCGGTGAGCGAGCGGGTGAGCGAATCGGTGAGCGAATCGGTGAGCGAGCGGGTGAGCGAATCGGTGAGCGAATCGGTGAGCGAGCGGGTGAGCAAGCGGGTGAGCGAACCGGTGAGCGAATTGGTGAGTGAGCGGGTGAGCGAGCGGGTGAGCGAATCGGTGAGCGAGCGGGTGAGCGAATCGGTGAGCGAATCGGTGAGCGAATCGGTGAGCGAGCGGGTGAGCGAATTGGTGAGCGAGCGGGTGAGCGAATCGGTGAGCGAATCGGTGAACGAGCGGGTGAGCGAGCGGGTGAGCGAATCGGTGAGCGAGCGGGTGAGCGAGCGGGTGAGCGAATCGGTGAGCGAATCGGTGAGCGAATCGGTGAGCGAATCGGTGAGCGAATCGGTGAGCGAGCGGGTGAGCGAGCGGGTGAGCGAGCGGGTGAGCGAGCGGGTGAGCGAGCGGGTGAGCGAGTCCCTCACCGAGGAGCGAACTGATCCACGGTGAGGCCAGCCCGCAGGCCGGTCCGAACGTACTCCAGGCCATCAGCCAGGGTGAAGGCCGCTTCCAGCACCGCATCAGCGCCGGCCTCTTGCATGTGGTAGCCGCTGATGGAGATGGAGTTGAAGCGTGGCATGTGCTAGTGAGGGGGGAGGGTGGAGGGTGAGTTGGTGGGTGGGTGGGTGAGAGAGTGGGTGGGTGGGTGAGTGGGTGGGTGGGTGGGTGAGTGGGTGGGTGGGTGAGTGGGTGAGGGGGTGAGTGAGTGGGTGGGTGGGTGAGTGAGTGAGTGAGTGGGTGGGTGAGTGAGTGAGTGAGTGGGTGGGTGGGTGAGTGAGTGGGTGAGTGAGTGGGTGGGTGAGTTGGTGGGTGAGTGAGTGGGTGGGTGGGTGAGTGGGTGAGTGAGTGGGTGAGTTGGTGGGTGAGTGAGTGAGTGGGTGGGTGGGTGGGTGAGTGAGTAGGTGGGTGGGTGGGTGAGTGAGTAGGTGAGTGGGTGGGTGGTGAGTGAGTGGGTGAGTGGGTGAGTGGGTGGGTGGGTGGGTGAGTGGGTGGGTGAGTGGGTGGGTGGGTGGGTGAGTTGGTGAGTGGGTGGGTGGGTGAGTGGGTGAGTGGGTGAGTAGGTGAGTGAGTGGGTGGGTTGGTGGGTGAGTGAGTGAGTGAGTGGGTGGGTGGGTTGGTGGGTGGGTGGGTGGGTGAGTGAGTGGGTGGGTGAGTGGGTGGGTGAGTGGGTGGGTGGTAGAGTGGGTGGGTGGGTGAGTGGGTGGGTGGGTGGGTGAGTGAGTGGGTGAGTTGGTGGGTGGGTGGGTGGGTGAGTGAGTGAGTGAGTGGGTGAGTGGGTTGGTGGGTGAGTTGGTGGGTGAGTTAGTGGGTGGGTGGGTGAGTTGGTGGGTGGGTGGGTGAGTGGGTGAGTGGGTGGGTGGGTGAGTGGGTGAGTGGGTGGGTGGGTGAGTGAGTGGGTGGGTGGGTGGGTGAGTTGGTGAGTGGGTGGGTGGGTGAGTGGGTGAGTGGGTGAGTAGGTGAGTGAGTGAGTGGGTGGGTGAGTGGGTGGGTGGGTGGGTGGGTGGGTGGGTGAGTGGGTGGGTGGGTGAGTGAGTGAGTGGGTGAGTGGGTGGGTGGGTGAGTGGGTGAGTGGGTGGGTGAGTGGGTGGGTGGGTGGGTGAGTGGGTGGGTGGGTGGGTGGGTGAGTGGGTGGGTGGGTGGGTGAGTGAGTGGGTGAGTGAGTGGATGGGTGAGTGGGTGAGTTGGTGGGTGAGTGGGTGGGTGAGTGAGTGAGTGGGTGAGTGAGTGGGTGAGTTAGTGGGTGGGTGGGTGAGTTGGTGGGTGGGTGGGTGAGTGGGTGAGTGGGTGGGTGGGTGAGTGGGTGAGTGGGTGGGTGGGTGGGTGAGTGAGTGAGTGGGTTGGTGGGTGAGTGAGTGGGTGAGTGAGTGGGTGAGTGGGTGGGTGAGTGGGTGAGTGGGTGAGTGAGTGAGTGAGTGGGTGGCTGGGTGAGTGGGTGGGTGAGTGGGTGAGTGGGTGAGTTGGTGGGTGAGTGGGTGAGTGACTGTCTGTGTGTGTGTGTGTCTGTGTGTGTGTCTGTCTGTGTGTCTGTGTGTGTGTCTGTGTGTCTGTGTGTGTGTCTGTCTGTCTGTGTGTGTCTGTGTGTGTCTGTGTGTGTCTGTGTGTATCTGTGTCTGCGTCTGTGATTGCCTCGCACATTGGAGGCAGTAGCCGGACCTCGACAGCGAGCGCCTTAACCGGCCGAGCGACTCACCGACCGGGCGAGCGACTCACCGACCGGGCGAGCGAGCGGGCGAGCGACTCACTGGGCGACTCACTGAGCGAGCGAGCGACTCACCGGGCGAGCGAGCGACTCACCGGGCGAGCGAGCGACTCACCGACCGGGCGAGCGACTCACCGGGCGAGCGACTCACCGGGCGAGCGAGCGAGCGACTCACCAGGCGAGCGAGCGAGCGACTCACCAGGCGAGCGACTCACCGAGCGAGCGAGCGACTCACCGGGCGAGCGAGCGACTCACCGACCGGGCGAGCGACTCACCGAGCGAGCGACTCACCGGGCGAGCGGGCGAGCGACTCACCGTGGCGAGCGACTCACCGAGCGACTCACCGTGGCGGTGAAGGCAAAGATGTCTGCTATGATGCGCAGGGAGGCGTCTGGTGGGTAGATGAACGTGTTGCGGACCATAAACTCCTTGAGGATGTCGTTCTGTACGGTGCCCGTGAGCAGCGCTCTTGGGACACCCTCCTCCTCAGCAGCGGCCACAAACATGGCGAGGACCGGGATGACGGCGCCGTTCATCGTCATGGACACTGACATACGATCCAGCGGGATGCCCTGGTGGGGAGAGGAGAGAGAGAGAGACACGGGGAGAGATACGGGGAGAGACACGGGGAGAGAGAGAGAGAGACAGTGAGAGAGAGAGAGACACGGGGAGAGAGAGACGGGGAGAGAGAGAGGGAGAGACACGGGGAGAGACGGGGAGAGAGAGACGGAGAGAGAGACAGAGAGACAGTGAGAGAGAGAGAGAGACAGAGAGAGACAGAGAGACAGTGAGAGAGACGGGGAGAGAGAGAGACAGAGAGACAGAGAGAGAGAGAGAGAGACAGTGAGACAGTGAGAGAGACAGTGAGACAGACACAGAGACAGACAGAGACAGACAGAGACAGAGAGACAGACAGAGACAGGGTGAGACAGAACAGCGGCCACAAACATGGCGAGGACCGGGATGACGACGCCGTTCATCGTCATGGACACTGACATACGATCCAGCGGGATGCCCTGGTGGGGAGAGGAGACACGGGGAGACACGGGGAGAGAGACACGGGGAGAGAGAGGGAGAGAGAGAGACACGGGGAGAGAGAGAGGGAGAGACACGGGGAGAGACGGGGAGAGAGAGACGGAGAGAGAGACAGAGAGACAGTGAGAGAGAGAGAGAGACAGAGAGAGACAGAGAGACAGTGAGAGAGACAGAGAGAGAGAGGCGGGGAGAGAGACAGTGAGACAGTGAGAGAGACAGTGAGACAGTGAGAGAGACAGTGAGACAGTGAGAGAGACAGTGAGAGAGACAGTGAGACAGTGAGAGAGACAGTGAGACAGAGAGACAGTGAGAGAGACAGAGAGACAGTGAGAGAGACAGTGAGACAGTGAGACAGTGAGAGAGACAGTGAGACAGTGAGACAGTGAGACAGAGACAGGGTGAGACAGAGAGACAGAGACAGAGACAGGGTGAGACAGAACAGCGCCACAAACATGGCGAGGACCGGGATGACGACGCCGTTCATCGTCATGGACACTGACATACGATCCAGCGGGATGCCCTGGTGGGGAGAGGAGACACGGGGAGAGAGAGAGACACGGGGAGAGAGACACGGGGAGAGAGACACGGGGAGAGAGAGGGAGAGAGAGAGACACGGGGAGAGAGAGACACGGGGAGAGAGATGGAGAGAGAGACAGTGAGACAGTGAGAGAGACAGTGAGAGAGACAGAGAGACAGTGAGAGAGAGAGAGACAGTGAGAGAGACAGAGAGACAGTGAGAGAGACAGAGAGAGACAGTGAGACGGGGAGAGGGAGATGGAGAGAGAGACAGTGAGAGAGACAGAGAGACAGTGAGAGAGAGAGAGACAGTGAGAGAGACAGAGAGACAGTGAGACAGACACAGAGACAGTGAGAGAGAGAGAGACAGTGAGAGAGACAGTGAGACAGTGAGAGAGACAGAGAGAGACAGTGAGACAGTGAGAGAGACAGAGAGAGACAGTGAGACGGGGAGAGGGAGATGGAGAGAGAGACAGGGTGAGACAGAGAGACAGTGAGAGAGACAGTGAGACAGACACAGAGACAGACAGAGACAGACAGAGACAGAGAGACAGAGACAGAGACAGGGTGAGACAGAACAGCGCCACAAACATGGCGAGGACCGGGATGACGACGCCGTTCATCGTCATGGACACTGACATACGATCCAGCGGGATGCCCTGGTGGGGAGAGGAGAGAGACGGGGAGAGAGACACGGGGAGAGAGACACGGGGAGAGAGACACGGGGAGAGAGAGGGAGAGAGAGAGACACGGGGAGAGAGAGAGGGAGAGACACGGGGAGAGACGGGGAGAGAGAGACGGAGAGAGAGACAGAGAGACAGTGAGAGAGAGAGAGAGACAGAGAGAGACAGAGAGACAGTGAGAGAGACGGGGAGAGAGAGAGACAGTGAGAGAGAGAGACAGAGAGAGAGACAGTGAGACAGTGAGAGAGACAGTGAGACAGACACAGAGACAGACAGAGACAGACAGAGACAGAGAGACAGACAGAGACAGGGTGAGACAGAACAGCGGCCACAAACATGGCGAGGACCGGGATGACGGCGCCGTTCATCGTCATGGACACTGACATACGATCCAGCGGGATGCCCTGGTGGGGAGGAGAGAGACACGGGGAGAGAGAGAGACACGGGGAGAGATGGGGAGAGAGAGAGACACGGGGAGAGAGAGAGGGAGAGACACGGGGAGAGACGGGGAGAGAGAGACGGAGAGAGAGACAGAGAGACAGTGAGAGAGAGAGAGAGACAGAGAGAGACAGAGAGACAGTGAGAGAGAGAGAGAGACAGAGAGAGACAGAGAGAGAGACAGTGAGAGAGAGAGAGACAGAGAGACAGTGAGAGAGAGAGAGAGACAGAGAGAGACAGAGAGACAGTGAGAGAGAGAGAGAGACAGAGAGAGACAGAGAGACAGTGAGAGAGACAGTGAGAGAGACGGGGAGAGAGAGAGACAGTGAGAGAGAGAGACAGAGAGAGAGACAGTGAGACAGTGAGAGAGAGAGACAGTGAGAGAGACAGTGAGACAGTGAGAGAGACAGTGAGACAGACAGACAGTGAGACAGACAGAGACAGGGTGAGACAGAACAGCGGCCACAAACATGGCGAGGACCGGGATGACGACGCCGTTCATCGTCATGGACACTGACATACGATCCAGCGGGATGCCCTGGTGGGGAGGAGAGAGACACGGGGAGAGATGGGGAGAGACACGGGGGGAGAGAGACGGGGAGAGACACGGGGAGAGACGGGGAGAGAGAGACGGAGAGAGAGACAGAGAGACAGTGAGAGAGAGAGAGAGACAGAGAGAGACAGAGAGACAGTGAGAGAGACAGAGAGACAGTGAGAGAGACAGAGAGAGACAGTGAGAGAGACAGAGAGACAGTGAGAGAGACGGGGAGAGAGAGAGAGAGACAGTGAGAGAGACGGGGAGAGAGAGAGACAGTGAGAGAGAGAGACAGAGAGAGAGACAGTGAGACAGTGAGACAGTGAGAGAGACAGAGAGAGACAGAGAGACAGTGAGAGAGACAGAGAGAGACAGTGAGACGGGGAGAGGGAGATGGAGAGAGAGACAGGGTGAGACAGAGAGACAGTGAGAGAGACAGACAGACAGACAGAGACAGACAGAGACAGAGACAGACAGACAGAGAGACAGACAGAGACAGGGTGAGACAGAACAGCGGCCACAAACATGGCGAGGACCGGGATGACGACGCCGTTCATCGTCATGGACACTGACATACGATCCAGCGGGATGCCCTGGTGGGGAGAGGAGACACGGGGAGAGAGAGAGACACGGGGAGAGAGAGGGAGAGAGAGAGACACGGGGAGAGAGAGACAGTGAGAGAGAAACACGGGGTGAGAGAGAGACACGGGGAGAGAGATGGAGAGAGAGAGACAGTGAGACAGTGAGACAGTGAGACAGTGAGAGAGACAGTGAGAGAGACAGTGAGACAGTGAGAGAGACAGTGAGAGAGACAGTGAGACAGTGAGAGAGACAGAGAGAGACAGTGAGACAGTGAGAGAGACAGTGAGACAGTGAGAGAGACAGAGAGAGACAGTGAGACAGTGAGAGAGACAGAGAGAGACAGTGAGACGGGGAGAGGGAGATGGAGAGAGAGACAGGGTGAGACAGAGAGACAGTGAGAGAGACAGTGAGAGAGACAGAGACAGACAGAGAGACAGAGACAGACAGAGACAGAGACAGAGAGACAGACAGAGACAGGGGGGGAGAGAGAGAGAGGGGGAGAGACGGGGAGACACGGGGAGAGAGACACGGGGAGAGAGAGACACGGGGAGAGAGAGAGACAGTGAGAGAGAGACACGGGGTGAGAGAGACACGGGGAGAGAGACACGGGGAGACACGGGGAGAGAGAGACACGGGGAGAGAGAGACAGTGAGACAGTGAGAGAGACAGTGAGAGAGACAGAGAGAGACAGTGAGACAGTGAGAGAGACAGTGAGAGAGACAGAGAGAGACAGTGAGACAGTGAGAGAGACAGTGAGAGAGACGGAGAGAGAGACGGAGAGAGAGAGAGAGACAGAGAGACACAGAGACAGACAGAGACAGACAGTGAGACAGACAGACAGAGAGAGACAGAGACAGGGTGAGACAGAACAGCGGCCACAAACATGGCGAGGACCGGGATGACGACGCCGTTCATCGTCATGGACACTGACATACGATCCAGCGGGATGCCCTGGTGGGGAAGGAGACACGGGGAGAGAGACACGGGGAGAGAGAGGGAGAGAGAGAGACACGGGGAGAGAGAGGGAGAGAGAGAGACACGGGGAGAGAGAGACAGTGAGAGAGAAACACGGGGTGAGAGAGAGACACGGGGAGAGAGATGGAGAGAGAGACAGTGAGACAGTGAGACAGTGAGAGAGACAGTGAGAGAGACAGAGAGAGACAGTGAGACAGTGAGAGAGACAGTGAGAGAGACAGTGAGACAGTGAGAGAGACAGAGAGAGACAGAGAGACAGTGAGAGAGAGAGAGACAGTGAGAGAGACAGTGAGACGGGGAGAGAGACAGAGAGAGACAGAGAGACAGTGAGAGAGACAGAGAGAGACAGTGAGACGGGGAGAGGGAGATGGAGAGAGAGACAGGGTGAGACAGAGAGACAGTGAGAGAGACAGACAGACAGACAGAGACAGACAGAGACAGAGACAGACAGACAGAGAGACAGACAGAGACAGGGTGAGACAGAGAGACAGAGAGAGACAGGGTGAGACAGAACAGCGGCCACAAACATGGCGAGGACCGGGATGACGACGCCGTTCATCGTCATGGACACTGACATACGATCCAGCGGGATGCCCTGGTGGGGAGAGGAGAGACACGGGGAGAGAGAGAGACACGGGGAGAGAGAGGGAGAGAGAGAGACACGGGGAGAGAGGGAGAGAGAGACACGGGGAGAGACACGGGGAGAGAGAGACGGAGAGAGAGACAGAGAGACAGTGAGAGAGAGAGAGAGACAGAGAGAGACAGAGAGACAGTGAGAGAGACAGAGAGACAGTGAGAGAGACAGTGA